GTAGAAGAAAAGATCCGGCAGGAGGACGGCCAGGGCCCACGGTAGGCGAGGGCGGGGCTGGGCGGGACCTGGGGAAGGCCCCGCCCCTAACCTCCGGGTGGCTGGGTGAGCAGGGGGCGGGGTCGGATGGGGGCGGGACCTGGCAGGGGCGTGGCTGTGCCCGCGGGGGTGAGGATCATGCTGGAGGGGAGCGAGCCCGTGGGGGTGTGGCATTGCCCAGTCTCCGCCTCGATCACGCGCCAGGCTCGGCTTTGCGCAGGCTGGGGCGGGGCCCGGTGTGGGTGTGGTTCGCGTGAGGGGCGGGGTCTACGGGTGCGACCTCTCCCGGCTCCGCCACGCCCCCTCACTCTCGGCCCTGGCTCGGGCGGTCGGGGTGAACCTGCGGCCCTCTGTCGGCTCGGCCCGCTCACGCTCGTCCCGCCGCCGCCCTCAGCCCCTTGGCCGCCGAGGAGAAAAGCACTGGCAGCATCTTGGATGATATCGGCAGCATGTTCGACGACCTGGCCGACCAGCTGGACGCCATGCTGGAGTGACGGGCCACTGCCCGTGTGGGGCCCGCCCGCGCCGCCCGGGCTCCGGCCCCGCACGCTGACCTTTACCTCAGGACGGGCACCTGGGCCGGGCGGCCGCGGGCCGAGACGGGGGCGTGCCTTCCCCCAGCCCCTGCACAAGCACAACGCCTGCCCTCTGCCGGGGCGCTGGCTGGGGTTCCGAGGGCTTAGCCCCAGCCCGCGGCGACCGGCCCTGGCTGCTGCTCCCCGTGCAATACCTACTGGCCGCCGGGCCTGCCCGGGGCCGGGAGGGGGCGCTGCTGGAGCCCCTTCCCAGTCCGCGGCAGCGCACAGGTCTATGCTCAGCACGGAACTGCCGATCGGGGCCTCCACCAGCCGCTCTGGCTCAGCACAAGGGGCTGGGGGTTCGTGGGGCCCTCCCACCCCACTGCACCCCAAAATATAAACTATGGAGATTATTAATTTATTGGGAATGAGCTAAGGCAGATTTCCCCAGAGAAACAAAAAGGTATAACTTAACAAATATATATTTAAAGAAAGAAAATATTATTGATTCTATAGAAAACCATTTACCGAAGGAAAGGACACTGGGGTCGAGCGTGAGAGAGAAGCTGGTCAGAGGCGCAGGCCCTCTGTCCGCCCTTCGCTCCCTCCCTCTGTCCAGGAGGGGCCCGGCCCCTGCCCCGCAGCACAAACAGGGGGCTGGGCCGAGGGAGCGGGTCGGTGCTCTGCCAGGGCCCCTCTGCACCCCGTCCTCACTTCTCTGCGTCCGAAGAAATCGAAGGATGTGCCTTGCTCGCTGGTGGCTGTGTCCTCTTCCAGGCCCACGGGGGACGGGGGCGGGGCTCCCTCCTCGTGGGTGTGGCCGAGTCCTGGGGGCGTGGTTGAGGGCGTGCGTGGGCATGCGTGGTGAGTGAGCGTGGCGTGGGCGCGGAGGCGTGCATGCGGCTGCGTGTGCGTGCGTGTCTGTTTCCCAGGACCCCCGTGCTGGCCCTGCGCAAGCAGCCAGCCCAGCCCCCACCCGAGTTCCAACGGCCGCTTCTGCTCGTGGTCCGAGGCTGTGTCGTGTGGTGTCCTCGCCCTTTCTGGTCCTCTCCAACCCAGCTGCTCTACCCCTCGAACAAGTCCTGACTGGTCTCTATTGTGTTTGCTGACCCAGATGTGTGGAACAACTCTGACATTTCTTATTAAAAAAAAAATCAAAAAAACGCCGAAAACCAGCCAGCGATGGTGACCTGGGGTGGGTGGAGGGGCCGGCAGAGGTGGCACCCTGGCACTCTCCCAGGAGTGGAAGCCTGGCTGCCCTCCTGGCCTCCCTTCAGGCTGGTCCCCAACAGGTGGGAGGGATCTGGGCAGGGGGCTGCTGTCAGTTGTCAATAAACAGCAGGAAATGAGCCGCCTGGTCCGCTTTGTGGAGGGGTGGGTGTCGGCAGGAGTGGGGCTGGAGGCCTGGCCCTGAGGTGGGTGAGGGACCTTGTGCCCGCCGTCAGGAAGGTCTTGGAGTGGTGGGCCACGTCCCAGGGTTGGGAAGGAGCACCCCTGTGGTCCTCCACATGGTCAAAAATGAAGCCTTTGGAACTTTGCACTCCTCCACCCCCTGCAGTGGCCTCCCTTGGGCATCCTTGGGCAATGAACCCCAATCTTCATAGGCAGCTCCCCGCCCCAAGAAACCCTCATGCTCAAAACCACAGTCTGTGTAGCGTTTATTTCTGTCTGGAAGTAACCAAGTGTATAGTCTAAAAACAGTAGAAAACAGTAAAAAGGCCCACAGTCCATCTTGAGGAGTGAGTAGGTTGGGCTGGCTGAGCGTCGTACCTGGCGCCCAGGGCAGGCGCTGGGCATTGTCCTGGCCGTGGCAGGGATGCCACTCAGCCTAGGCCGGGAAGGTACTGCCCAGCCTGCCTCCTGGACCCCACTGGGCCACTATGTGGCCAGCTGGCCCAGAGGAGGCCAAGGCCTGGCTTGGGCTCTGTCAGCAGGTCCACACCTGGGAAGACAAAGCTTTGTGTCAGATGCTCCCACTGCCCCCACTGCCCTTCTCTGTTGTCAGCCCCGGGGCCTCTACTCTCTGAGGCACTGACCTTGACTGTGCTGTCCACAGCACCCGAGAAAAGCCGGCCCCGGGACACAGCCAGCGCGGTCACGCTGCCCTGGTGCCGCAGCAGGGTCTGTGTGCAGATCATGTTGTCCATGCTCCAGACCTGGGGACATGCTGAGATGTGAGGCCACACAGCCACTGAGCTGTCTCCCAACCGCACCCCCCCCAGCTGCTGCCCTGGGCTGGCCCGCACCCTGAGGGACCGGTCGTAGGATGCGCTGAAGACTTTGGTCTGGTCTGGCGTTGAGATGACCGCCAGGGCATACACAGTGCCCACGTGGCCTGTCAGGGTCCGCACCTGCTCCTTGGATTCGATGTCCCACACCTGGGAAGAAGTGGGCCCAGGTAGGTGAAGGACACAGGGCAGAGCGGGACCCTGAGCCAGACCCCGCCACCCGCCTTACGTGGATGAGGTTCTCGTAGGTGCCGCAGACGATGTGGTGGCTGGTCACGGCGATGGAGTAAACGCTGCCGCCTGATGTCTGCAGCACGTGGATGCAGTCCAGCGTCCTGATGTCCCAGATCTACAGGGAGCATGGGCCACTGGGCACGCCGGCCTCCTCCCTTCCCCTGCTGGCCTGGGCCAGGCGCCCCTCAGGGTCTGCAGGGCTCCAGACATCCCAACCATCCCCGTGGCCAGGCCTGTCTGTTGGGGGTGGGTGGGGGTCTGGGAGCTACTTCGGAGTACAGGCAAAGAGGCCCTGCCAGAGGGGCGGTAAGGGACGCACCTTGATTGTCTGGTAGGAGCCACTGTACAGGTAGCTCTGGGCGGCCACCAGAGCCCGCACCCAGTGATTCAGGCCCGTGAGCTCCTTCTTCAGCCTCAGCTCGGTGCCTACGATGTCCCAGACCTACAGGGCCGGCGGTGAGCGTGGGCAGGCGTCCCGGCACCCGGCACCCGAGGCCCGCCCGCGCACACCTGCCCCTCACCTTGATGGCCTTCAGGGAGCCGCTGAAGAGCATGTTGTGTGAGGAGACCAGCGTGCACACCGGGTTGTCGTGGGCCCGGATCGTGTTCACCTTCTGCAGGTTCTGGATGTCCCACACCTGGGGGGTAGCGGGGGAGCTTCAGGGTACCGCTGGCCCGAGCCAGGCCCTGTGTGGGCTGGGCAGTGACGGGGCATGCCCGCCCACCCTGCCACCCACACTCCCACTCACAATGATGGTGCAGTCCGCAGAGCCACTGTACAGCTTACACCTGCAAATACCAAGCCACCGTGTCAGGGCCACCGTCCCTGCCAACACTGCCCTGGCCAGGGCCACTGCTGCTTCCCTAAGGCTCTGTTTTCTGGCCTCTATGCTGGGCCCTTGGAAGTGGCCGCCAGGACCCAGGCACTTGCCCAAAAAGCACTTGGCAACTGAGCTGGGAGATCAATACCAACCCTTGGCCCAAGTGGGGCTGGGACGAGGCGGCTGCCACCATGAGCCAGCACCTTCCTCGGTGTGCACCCACCCAGTCACACACATGCACACGTGTTCATGGTCACACTTGGACATGCTCACACTCATGTACACTCATATCCTCACCCATGCAATCACACAAACCTGCTTGCACACCTGCACTCATACTCACAAGCACTCACCCATGCCCACCCACATGCGCTCACACTCACTCACCCATGCAGTCACATGCACACATCCTTAAATACACCTATGCAGTCTCCCACATGCACACACTCACATACACTCACTTTCACCCATGTTCACAGTCACACCTGCTAACACACAGGCACTCACACTCATGCAGTCACATACCACACACACTCATACATGCACCAATCTCTGCTCACACCATCACACACATATACATGTTCACATGCACTCACACGTTCTCACCTGCAGTCACACATGCACACACTCACGTGCATTCACATGCTGTCACGCTCATGCATGCTCATATATCCACTCATGCACTCTCATGCTCCCAGGTGCTCAGTCACACGTGTTCAAATGCTCACTCATGCTCACCCACTCATGTTCACAGCTGTACTCACACTCACATACCCACACGCTTACACTCACATACACACGTCCTTGGTCACACACACATTTCTATGCTCGAGCACTTGCACACACACACTCACACATACTGGTACATGCTCACGCCTGCACCCACATACCCAAATCCTGACATGACACGAGGACTGAACTCGGGAGGGTCCTCCAGGGGCAGTGAGGTTGCTCTTCTGGGGTCCCTGTCCCAAGCTGTGCCCAGAACTCTGACTACAGGCCAGTGGCAGCTGAACTCCCACCCACACCCACTGACACCCCAGAGCCCACCTCTGCAGGCTGTTGGAGGGCTCCAGGGCCCTGCCAGGCCTTCCAATGGACACAGCTCTGGGGACGGGACACAGACGCTCACATGGGCGCCCCCGTGCCCCCAGCCAGTGCTGCACAGGGGGCCACAGGAGGGGCCGCTCCACAGACTCAGGGCCAGGGCTTGGCCCCAGGTGCCCCATGGCGAGGGCTGCCCCACTCACCCCTGGATGCAGAGTGCTAGCACGATGCCGTCATGGCCCTCCAACGTCTTCTGACACTTGTAGGTGGTACACGTGTCCCACACCTGCAGAGACAGGCAGCTACCAACAGTCAGCAGGGCCGGGGCGCAGGGCAGGAGGGAGGGAAGCACCCACCCCTCCGCGGCGCGCCCACCTTGATGGTCTTGTCGGAGGAGCCACTGAAGAGCAGGTCACCCATGGAGTAAACGCAGAGGCACCACACAGGTCCCTGGTGCCCCACAAAGGTCCCCTTGCACTTGAAGATCTGCTGAGGGTCGTAGGCTGCAGAGAAGGGGGAGGGGTTAGGCGCCACGGGGGCCCGGAAATGGGGGAGGCATTGTGGGGAGTCGGGGGGCCAGAGTGGAGGGGCCACACTCACATCCCAGAATCCCCATGTTCAGCCGAGCATTGATGTGGGAGAGCTCATCCTGAGGACAGAGAAAGGGGCAGGTGGGTGGGGTCACCGCGGCCGCCCCACCCCTACCCCCGCGGGAGACCCCCACTACGCAAGCTCAGCATGGAAGCGCCTCTCCCCCCACCCCCCGCGGAGGATCCCCAGTACGCATGCTCAGCATGGAGGCGCCTCGCCCCGCCCCCCATGGAGCGTCCGCAGTAAGCATGCTCAGCATGGAGGTGTCCCGCCACGCCCCCCGCGCAGTGCTCACGTTCAGCATGGAAGCGTCTCTGCGGAACTCCATGAGATCCTCGCTAAGCTTGCTCTGGTTCTCGTCCAGCACGTCTGGGCAGCAGGAGGGGTGGTGTCACCGTGGCTGGGGCCAGGGTTCACCCCTGCCGCCCGCCCGGGTCCGGCCTCACCGAACTTGAGTTCCAGGCTCTTCTCCAGCTGGTCGACCTTCTCGGAGAGCCTGCCCAGCATGGACCGCAGGAAGGCGATCTCCTGGTCCTTCTGGGCCAGCGCCACCTGCATCTCGTGGAAGCGGTCGTCGGTCTGCTGCAGGAACTCCTTCAGACCCTCGAAGCGGCATGTCTCCAGGTGCGTCTCGTACGTGTCCTGGTTCCCGATGAACGTGCACCTGGGGCACAGGATGGCTGCCCTGCCCACCTTCCGCCGGCCCACTACCCGCTGCTCTCCCTGACTCTGAGTCTCTTACAGGCCCCCAGCCCAGCTCCCTTCATGTCTTGCCCGGAAGCTGCCCTCCACACCCGCCCATCCTCCCTTCTCCCCAGAAACAAGTGGGCTGCTTTGCAGGTGAAATCCAGCTGCCTTGCCCCAGCTCAGGGCTCCTGTTGGACGTCCCTCGCTGTCAGAACGGCACCCGCTCCCCACCTGAGAACCCACGTCCCTCTCTGTTCTCAACTCGAGCTCCAGAGCCCCCTCGGTCTTCTAGCTTCCTCCCCCAAGCGCCCCACTCCCCCCATTGGCCCATCCACCCCCTGCGCTCCCATGGGGCCTAGTGTCAATCCCTGTTGTCACCTGCAACCTGGTTTGTAATTACAGAGTCCTTGCTGTGGCTCTCGGCTAAGGCCATGTCCCCGGGGAGCCTGGCTATCTCTTTAGTAACCCTGCACAGCCTGCTGTCAACCAAGGCTCCCCGGAGACATGCATTGAGTGCCGGCCAGGGGCCCACCCGCTGCCGCCCGCGCCCGCCCGCGCCCACTCACCCGTACTTGGAATGGGAGCACTTAATGTGTTCACATTCCTTGAGGTGGGCCTCCAGGTTCATCTTGAGGAGTGGGGGACAGTTGGGGTTGTTCGGGCAGCGCACGGGCCGGTAGTCACAGCTGCCCTCGTGGTCCCTGTGGGCGGCAGACAGCGGGGGGAGGTGAGCCCCGCAAGCGGCGGCCGGGGCCCCAGCCACCTGGGGACGCACTCACTTGCGGGCGCTGAGCTTGACTGTGAAAGGGCAGCCGCGGGGGTCCACCTCAAAGGCACTGGCCTTCCCACCACCCACGGCCCGGCAGCCGTGCCGGCAGTGGATGAACAGCTCCCCGATCTGCTCAGCTACCGCGATGTTGCTCACGACCACCGTCAGCTTGGCGTTGTCCACGGGACACTTCTCTGGGACGGGAGGAGAATACGGTGACCTACAGCCCGCCAGGCCACTCTTCTGATACTGAGACCAGGCTGGATGTAGGCGACTGTTCTCTGGTGGGAAACGGAGTCCCACTAGGGTGGGGTGGGCACGAGCATCTTCGGCAGGCTCTCTGCTCTCCTGAGGCCCAGGCATGGGGCCACATCAAGGCCCAGAATGACAAGAGTGAGTAGGGGCCTCCCTGCTCACCCCAGGATGGTCTGGGGCCAGGCCAGGGCTGAACCAGGCAGGCAGGAGCTGATTCCCAGAGGGCCCACCAAGCCTGGCAGCCCTGGAGAGGTCACTGAGGCCCCGGCTCCACCCCAGTGCCCGCCATAGGCCGCCACGCCCAGCAGCGTCGTCTCCACCAGGACAGAGTCCAGCACGCTGGCCGCTCCTGTGCGTGAGGCCTGGCCGCTGTGCGGCAGCCACAGGCAGGAACGGTGCCCCACCCAGGTGGTCATGGGGCCCAGTCTGGATCCTACAGGAGGGGGCCTACCTGACTTCAGGGCGCATCTTCTACAGAAAGTATGCTGTGGAGCAGAGAACGGTGGCTTGAGCAGGATGTCTGGGCCCCAAGCAGTGATCACAGACCACAGCACCTCCCGCAATATAGTTCCGCCCCTGACCCAGCCTATGGTAGCCCCGCCCCTCACCCAGCAGGTGATCATGGCCTCGCCCCATGACCCCACCC